AAAAAACTTATAGCACAACACTGGCTTCCACCATAGCCTGGAAAAGTTGTTAATACAACTTCGGGACATCATATCCACGGCTCGGGTGAACTTAGAAACAAATCTCTACATTAAAGATCTACATTATAACTGCTGAGAAGATCTTCAAGTATATTGCACAAAACAACGATCATGGATCAGCCTTAACACTTTTTATTTAGGCCTATTTAAATGTATGTATTTATTCATTTTTCTTACACTTTATTGATTGCTGGGATTTATGTTTTATAATTCCTGTGGCTTTGGTTTTCTGTTGATTTTCTATGTGTAGAGGGAGGAAGGGTATGGGGAAGTTGAGCTGATAGGCTGTGTTTCCATGTTTGCATTCTGGTTTGTGTATTGTTAATAAAAAAAATATTTCATTTTAAAATGACCTTTTTAATTTCCTTCCATTTCTTTAAAATATACATTTTCATATATATATATTTTTTAGGTTTATTATAGGCATATATTTTAATTTATGTGAAGTATCAGGTGGTCTGAGATTTTTTTTTTTTTTTTTTTACAAAAAAATGTTTTCATTTTGACAAAATAATGAGAAAATCCAATTAAATATCGACCATCTAACTCCCATTGCTTTGAAAGTGGAAATGTTGCTGTTAATTAGCTAAATAAAGAAAATAAATTTGCGGGATATGTTTGGAGAAGAATCAATAAGCAATTTTTGCTAAATAATTACTAAATAAAATAATAAATTACAATTCCGTAATTGTATACAACACACATACTGCATAACCGATAGGGGTGCTGCTATCAGTAATAAAAATATAACACAACAATTTTAAACAACAACAAAATATATAGGATGAAACCGCTAAGTTTCAGTAAACTCTGTCGCGAGGCAGCGTTTTGTGTTTATGGCGCTCGCGATGTGCGCCACTGTTTGGATCTCCATGCGGATGTGACATTTCAGAGAGGAGCGCGACCGCCATTTTGAGTTTTACCAACAGAACATCATAAACCACGGGAGCGGGTGAGAGAGGCTCTGGCCGTGACCGGGCAAAATTACCTTTTCTCCTTTGAATAGCTTTTTGGGATGCAGCTTCGCGGTGAAATCGAGCGTTAGATGTTCAGGTTAGTTTCACTTGCGATAACGGCGAGGCGAAACGTGGGCATCTTTGTGAGTTTGAACTTCTAAATTAGTGCGATTTCACATTAGAGTCTGGTTTGAATGGATAGGTTTTTTCCTCGCTCCCCCCCAGAAGAGGGACAATCGGAGGAGCACACGGACTGGAAATATTGCAGGCAAAGTTGTATTTAAAATAACCTCTCGGAGGCGCACGAGTCGCGCTGTTTCTTCTTTTATCACTTTAGCTAGCTTCAGCTGGGCTATATCTGTGTTTTCCCCGGCTGCAGGTTGTTGTGAGTTGCATTCGTCCCTCACTTCTACGGGGGAAAGCCGGGGTTTCATTCATCAGGCCTTCGTTAAGCAGAAGCCCGAGGCCACCGACTAACCTTAACCTTAGCATCCCTTCACCCAGGCGCCGAGATTGGGCGAATAGCGAGCAAATACGTCCGCGTTTCTCTGCCTGTTCACCCACCGGCCTCCCTTCCTCCATCCCCGGCGCTGACAGCAGACAAGGCCGAGGTCGTCTTAGCGCAGGCCCAGCCGCAAAGGCTCGACCTGTTTACCCCACCTCCGCGTCCTCCGACTCCCCAGCAGCCTCTGCCCGCGGAACCGCCACCAGACCGGCCCGAGGGAGACAAAGAGCCCAGGCACCATCCCATCCTAACAGCCGCCGACATGAACCACCATCACACCCAGCAGCAGCAGAAAGCAGGCGAGCAGCAGCTCAGCGAGCCCGAGGACATGGAGATGGAGGGTACGTCAAGGCCTCGTGCAAAATCAAAAGCTCACAGCCTTTCATTTAACATCACAGCTAACGTTAACACTCTAATCCAGATCTGTAACTGTTTATCTGTTCAATAGCAAGCCACTCTGTCGCATGTTTTGACCCCAATAGCTTGTTAAGCTAGCCAGTAGCTAACCGTTAACTATACCTCGCTGCATGAGGAGTTTAACCAGTCAGCAAAAAGTCCGTCTTATTTTATTTACAACCTCATTTGAGTCACATTACCCTGCTACTTTGTTGTTAAAAATCACACAGCGTTTGATTTACTTAAATAATGCTGTTTGTGACAGTTATTTGAGCTGGATTGTCTTCTATTAGCGTTTGGCTAGTTATGTGCTGCCTGAATTAACGTGGCGCAGCCCATCTTTAAGCTCTTCTATCTACCAAACTGTGTCAGTTTTTCATCTGATTATGTAAGGAGCCCCTCGGTTACACCTGTAGATCCCGTGGGCAACTTCTCAAAAGCATCTAGGGGCAAATGCTCACAAATAAGCTAGTTATTTTGACGAACGAGCCGTGTTCGCGTGCAGAATGGATACATGTAAGTCAACGGTGTATTGTTTGTGCTGTAAATTGTGATTGAAACGACAGGGAAACGTTTGCTGTCGAAACGGTCCTGCAAGAGCACTAAACCGGCCATGTATCCACTAACTAGTTCACGATTTAATCTGGCAGTTTAGTGGTTTTTCAGAGCATCTGCTTGTTTAGACATTCCTGAAACGAGTTGCTGCTTCATTGAATGACTTTCCTCCATTGTCAGCAAATTCTCGTGTCCCGCCACCGTGTTTTTTAACTGTTGAGTGCTAATGGAGGCAGATAAACAGCATCAGATGATGATTGCTGGACACCAGCACCATTTTGAACTATAAGTCGCTCGTGAAATACATATACGATGGCAGGCTTTCTGTGCGATGCCTAATAGGTTAAGTTGCATTTAGCTGTTGCAATGTTTTATTAATGTGTTCCTGTTGTTATTGGCTTCGGATGCATTCCGCATCGGAAGTTGTGCAGCTCGATTAGGGGGAGTGGATGGCAGTTTTATTCCAAGATGGTGGACCGTATTTTGCACAGATCGGTTTCTGCGAGGCCTGCTTGCGTCGGTGTTTGTTTATATCTGGGTGACGGTGCGGCCCGAGGCGCCTGATGGCTCACCAAAGGATCCGCGAACCAAGTAATTCATTTGCTCATCGGATAGTGTCGGATGACACGGTTTGCCGAGAATAAGAGCTCGGTTTGCGGAGGGAAACGTTAGCAGCGCGGCCAACGTTATATGTGTGTGGAGGGGGAGGGGGTAAACGAGCGGATCAACTCAGAAACGAGTCATTAACGTAGTGTTTTTCTCAGTGACACCCTTATTGTTAATAATATGGAGTGAGTACCTATGCTGTCAGTTGTAAATATAGATTTGATATGTTTTAGGCATCGCAATGACTGTGCGTCAAGGCCAGCGCGTGGGGATTTTCTGCTTCATTGTATAACGAGTCATGATGTGGTACCGCTCGCCATTTTTAGTGATTACGGCTTTTTTTGTGTGTGGAGGGGGAGGGGGTAAACGAGCGGATCAACTCAGAAACGAGTCATTAACGTAGTGTTTTTCTCAGTGACACCCTTATTGTTAATAATATGGAGTGAGTACCTATGCTGTCAGTTGTAAATATAGATTTGATATGTTTTAGGCATCGCAATGACTGTGCGTCAAGGCCAGCGCGTGGGGATTTTCTGCTTCATTGTATAACGAGTCATGATGTGGTACCGCTCGCCATTTTTAGTGATTACGGCTTGCTTGGCTGTTTTTTGGCTCGTGCACACCCGCGATCGCGGTGGTAGCACTTGAAAGGCTATAGAACATGGTTGCGATTTCTTACTCATTGCGTTTCTGACGCTAATTTTCGCGCTGCGTTTCATCAAAGTTCTGCAGTGCACGTGTGGGGGCGTTTCTGATGCTGCTGTCCGGAGACCATCAAGACATGCACATTATCATCACACCACATATCATATCACAGGCCTAGGAATGCGCAAACGAAGCGCTGCGTGCTGCTATGAAGCATGCAGGTTGGCCTGTTTTTAATCTCACTCATTCAGGCCTTTCACTGAACGGCAAAATGTCTGGTTCACATTGCATCTTCTTTTTTTTCTAGCCAAGAACCACCCACTTAGACAGGAAGAGAACCTGTTTGTTTTGTTTTTACATACGTTTTATGCTGTCTTTACGTGCTATTGCAAATGTCCTACTTTCCATGTCTAAAGTGGCTATGTTCAAGTGCTTTGTTGTCTGAAAGAATAGGAATCATGCAGGACACCAGGCTCATTCTTGCCTATTTTGGGGGGAAATCTTATTAAAGGCAAAATGTTTCTAAGATGTTTAGTTAAAATCCAATGGATTTTAAATAAAACAATGTTGCATTTCATTCATTAATTGCCATTTATACATTATCTACACTATCTGGATTCTGGAGATTAGAGATCCTGGACTTTCAGGCAAATAAATGTGAATGTGAATATGCATCAAATAGTTATTTATTTAGAGAATATACATGCCTGTATGGCAAGAGAAAGCCGTGTAGATATTGTGGGGGAAAATGAATAAAATGTTCACTACAGCAATCATTTTCTCCTGTGCAGTGTTTAAATGTTATGGCCTGTCCATTTCGGAAACTCGGGTATCAGAATTTTCTCATGACACGCCCCCAACTCTCAAACTCGTGTTCAAAGTAAATCTAGAGTTTTCCATTTGTAATTATGACATTGTGGTATGTGCTTTAGTAAATATGATCTTTACATCATCTTAACATAGTGTTTATAGACTACCTTGGACTGTTGTGAGCATAATTTCAGATGCATTCAGTAGTGCTTCAGAATCTTTGATGGTTATAGATGCAGATTTTGCTCTGTCACTTAATTCTCAGTGGTTTAGAATTGTGGTGTATTTTTTTCCCTTTAGTAAAACATATATATGAGGGTACGTGAAGTAAGTAATTATGTGTAGAGCTACACATGCTAAATTCTGATTGATTGTGATTTAGTTTTTTGCTGAAAGATGCTCCTGAATGCATTTGTTTACCTGTTGCACAGTGGATCTATGGCACCATAATCAGAGTGAGATTGCAAGAAATCTTTTGGCATGGAACCAGTTGACAAGGGAATTTCCCGTTTTTACTTTTTTTTTCAGCTGGGGACCCAGATGATCCTCCAAGAATTCCCCAGAATCCAGTCATCAATGGGAACGTGGCTATGGCGGATGGACACAACAACACCGAGGAGGACATGGAGGATGGTAAGAAACACATTGAAGCGCAGTACCATGCACATTTTTACATATATTTATTTAAATTTTTCAAGTTATGAATGAAAGAACATCTGCATATGTAACACTTTTTAATAGACACAAGCTGGCGCTCTGAAGCCACTTTCCGCTTTGTGGTGGAGCGCTTTAGCAGGCTGAGTGAGTCTGTTCTCAGCCCACCCTGTTTCGTGAGAAATCTGCCCTGGAAGATCATGGTGATGCCCCGCTTTTACCCAGACAGACCTCACCAGAAGAGCGTTGGTTTCTTCCTTCAGTGCAATGCTGAGTCAGACTCTACGTAAGCAATCACTGCCATTATCTTTTCTGGTATAGCAATTTCAGTGATAACCTTGCAATAATGGACTTCTTTTCTTTGTGTGAAGTTAATACACTTTGGCTTTTTCAAAATATTGAGCAGGTTTCTTTCTTCTGGGTGTTTTTAAACCAAACCTAATTTGATTCCTCCTCATTTGAAGGTCCTGGTCATGTCATGCTCAAGCCATGCTCAAAATAATCAACTACAAAGACGATGAGAAATCCTTTAGCCGCCGCATTAGTCACCTGTTCTTTCACAAGGAAAACGACTGGGGCTTTTCCAACTTCATGTCATGGAGTGTAAGTTTACATGTTTTGTATGAATGTCTCTGCTGAGCTGGTGTTATCAAAGGTGAACGGAGCTAATTAGCTGATGTTGGTTGATTTCAGGATGTGACCGATCCAGAACGGGGCTTTGTGGAGGATGATAAGGTCACTTTTGAGGTCTACGTTCAAGCTGATGCTCCTCACGGTGTGGCGTAAGTCATTTCTTAGTGGCTTATGTTTTCAAAGTTGATGAGCTTTTGCAAATGTAGCTGATGTCACTGTTTTACTTACAGCTGGGATTCAAAGAAACACACTGGCTACGTGGGGTTGAAGAATCAAGGAGCCACGTGTTACATGAACAGCTTACTACAGACTCTCTTCTTCACAAACCAGCTTCGGAGGGTGAGACATCTGCCTTTCAATATCAGAATCAGAAGATTTTTTTGCAGTATTCCTACAGAATGCAGTATGTACCGATAAGCAGATGACTTTTGGATGGGTACAGTTTAATGAATATTAAAAACAATTCCTATTCTGCTAATTGATTTTCCTTGCTGTAAGATCCAATGAAATATAACCTACTTTCCAACTGCATCCCTCACCTTACCGAAATGGATGCATTATGTTGAGATGTAGTTTGTGTTCAGGTGCAGCCAACTGTGGCAATATTTTGAATCTTTTATTGGTAATATTTGGTTCCTATTAGAGTCGTACATGTCTCCGGATGGGGATCCACTTTATGCTGGAAAGAAAATGTGAAATAAGAGAAAATCTTGATAATCATAACTGGTATCAGTGTGTCCATGTGCTGGCAGAGCACATTTTCTCCACAGCAAGCCCTGTTATTAACAGGCTATAACTTTCACCACTTGTTTTTATGAATAAGAACATAGAACAATACAATCATGGCAGTTTTTATACACTACTATTCAAAAGTCTGGGGTCAGTATTTAAAAAAAAAAATCTCTTATGCTTACCAAATCTGCAGTTCATTACCAAATCAATCAGTAAATCATACAGTATAAAAACAACTTTTAAATGTTTTCTATTTGAGTTATATACATTTGTTTGTTTATTTATAATTCCGGCAATGGCGTTACTACTGTCTAGAGTTGGGAATCGAAAATCGATTCCAGAATCGGATGCTTGTTGTTTCGCAAACACGATTCAAACACCAACATGATTCTATTCCTAAATTACAATGATTCGTCTGTTTCATTCCTCAACCTTTGACGTGCGATCAATGTTGAGACCATTGGTTCATCAGTGCAGCGTACGATCACACCAGTGTGATTTGAACATTTAAATCTGTATGATTCAAAGACAAATACAAGAGATTCGTTCAAGAATGCTGGTTCATCCAGTAATGAAACAAGTACATCTTGAGTGAGTCATTGAATCATTTATTCATAAATTACATGTGATTTTGTTTAGTTGTCT